ATATATATATATATATATATATATATATATATATATATATGTATATATATGTATATATATATATATATATATATATATATATATATATATATATATATATATATATGTATACATATATATATTCATATATATACATATATATATATATATATATATATATATATATATATATATATATATATATATATATATATATTTATATATATATATATATATATATATATATATATATATATATATATATATATATATATATATATATATGCTTCTGTAACAACATATCTTTCTATTTACCCATCCATCTATCTCTTATTCTGTCTATCTATCTATCTACCCACCGATCGATCGTTTGAATAATCTGCGCCCTTTGAGACCTCAATGGATATACTTTGAGAGACGAGACTCTTTTGTACATTTGTTAAAAATTATGTCCCTGACTTTCTCCCTCCTCCCCTCACCCCTCTCCCCCGTACTGACGCCGTTCCGTGTACGTAGAGGCTGATTCCGTATGGTAATGACCCCCATCCAGCGCCGTACTGCGATCGTACTCTCCGCCACCATGTCGTAGTGTACATAACCCTGCGTTCATTGTCCCAACCCCTTTTGGAATTGTGTTTGTACCAACGTCATCATTTCATCCGTCTGCCAGGCTGTTTTGGTCTGGCACGTCCCTGTCTGTCATAAAAAAACCGTTATTTAATTGACTTTCCTCCCCATTTGATAAATGTATCGTCGGGTATCTACGCTAGAAATGAGCATATCATTATCAAAAACACTTTCCCCTTCCCACTTTTTTTTTCTCCTCCCCCCAAAGGAAGAAAACGTTATTCTTTAGTCACCCCTTTTAGACATCTTACTCTTCCATTTTCTTTTATTACCATTTTCTATGTCAAGTCGTCTGAAGTTGGTATAAAATAACGGTAAGATTTTTGAACTTCGTGTCTTTATATATATATGTGTGTAAGTAAAGTTCGATGTACAGGAATGCTTTTTTTCCATTATTGTTGTTGATATTTTCGTGCTTATTTACCTGCATTTTTTCCCCTCTGGCAATTCGGGAGCATAAGCAATTACGGGTAAATAGGAAGTAGATAAGAAGAATAAAAAAATAATAATAATCGAAAGGAAATATATATATACAAAAAAAATGGATTTTGAACATCAGAAAACAATGTAATATGTTTTCTTAAGCAAAAAAATGTGTGTTTACGCTCCTGAAATAAACAAGTATTTATGTATATGTTGCATGTCCAAGTCACGTGTGTTGTGTAGTATTTTTTTCCACCGGTCTTTGAGAAAAAAATAAACACCCCTATTTATTATCACTAAAAAAAGGAATTTGGATATTATACTTGACTAAAAACTGAACACTAGAATTCCCCATTATAAATATAAAACCCGTCTGTACTATGGATCCTTGTATATAGACTGTATATGATAATAGTTTTAACCCCGCGCTCCCTCTCTGTATATAACATATGACTGTCTGTATATATGGACCCCCGCCACTGTACACTTAGAGCATTTAAGAATATTTTATATATGACATATATATGTGTATATATATGTATATGTATATATATCATATCATATATAATATTTATATAGCATAATGCACTTTACACATGCTGTTTTCACCCCCCCCCCCAGTCAAAGCTTCTGAAAATAAATGTTATAGATTTATTCCTCAGTCAATGTATCTATCATTCCCTTAAAAAAAAGTTGATTTATATATATTTTTTTTCAAATTTGTAAATATATTTATCACCGCGCTTATCCCTTATTTTATTTTGTTTTGTATCTTTATAATATAGTTATCCTTTGTACCTCATTTCCATATATATTTATTATTCATTCCCAAGCATTCACGACAACCAAAAGTTTAATTTATCTATTTCTTGAATATTGTTATTATTTATTTTTGTAATTATTTTGTGTCCGTTAGTGAGAGGAATACAGAAACGGGGATAAAAATACAGACAGTATTTTGAATTTTTGGCCCCGAAAATGTAACAGGTAACACCCCCCCCCCCTCCTCTTCCTTTTTTATATTTCCCAAGCTTACGTAATCAGTAATAAGAACTGTTGTTAAAAACTGTTAGTTTTGATAACAGGATCCCCGTAGATTTTGGTAGAGTGGACAAGGAAAATAAAGATATATAATACACACATACATATATATAAACTTTTTTTTTTTATTTACTCGTTTGTGATTTTGATAAATTAACGAACAGATGTGTGTACACATTTACACGCACATGTACATTACGCATCCAGTAATAATAATAAATCACACTCACGTACACGCACACACATACACACACACACACACACACACACACACACACACACACACACACACACACACACACACACACACACACACACACACACACACACACACACACACACACGAATTGTCATTCATGTGCATTGACCTTTTTTTTCTCTCTCTCTCTCCCTCTCTCCCACCCTCGTCCTCCGACCCTCAACACTACAGTAAAAATGGCGCTCCTCCTCTCCGCCGAGCTGCCAGCATTGACTCCCTCGTCGACACCTCCTCCTCCAACAACAACAACAACAAGAGTGCCTCAAGTACGAGCTTCAGCACAGCCAAGTCCAACGGGCACTTGAGGTCGTACTTGCCCGTGTCCCCGGCGTTGATCAAGAGACCGAGCTTCAAGTTTGACAAGTCGGCGGCTGCTTCGTCAGGTAGGTGGTCCATCGCCCAGTCTTTCGAGCTCTGAGGAATCACGTGGTTGAGAGTGAGGAATTAGTGATCATGATAATTAATTATAATGATTTGATGGTTGGTAGTTAAGAGGGAGAGGATGTGATTCTTTGGAGCTTTTTTTATAACTGTTTTTGGTTTGATTTTATGTACACTTTTTTAATGTGTTTGTTTATCTATGGCTTTTATTTTTTTCTGTTTTCCTTGTAAATGTATTTTGTTTTCCTTGTGATTTATTCGTTTATGTGTTTAAATATTTTTTTCTCTTGTTCGTTTTTGCTTTCCATTAATCAAGTTTTTTATTTCTTGATTTTTTTTTTTTTTTTTTTTTTTTTTTTTTTTTTTTTTTTTTTTTTTTTTTTTTTTTTTTACTGTTTCCAAGTGTTGTGACGCTGAAATGGGATCAGGATGTTTTTTGTTTTTTTCTTTCTAACATCTTTAACGTACATAGTTTCTGTAAATCACCTTAACTTCTATTTACTTTTATTATTATTTCTTTGTAATAATTTGTGATAGAATTTATAGTATTAAGAAACATGAAACGTTGATTCATAAATGTTTTGACTGATGACAAGGTAAGTCGTATACAAACAGTTTATATTGTGTTGAAGGTAAGTGTCGAAGTTATTTTTCCATTATCTTCAAGATTTGGGATTGGAAGAAGAATCAGATGATTGGCGAATCTGTATGAATTAATGATTGACAAGGATTATTATTGATGTAAGATGGACTTCGTTTTCTTCTTTTGTTTTTTGTAGTGATTGAATGGCGTACATATATATATATATATATATGCAGGGTTTTTCATGTGTTTAAGAGCGTGATACGTAAATATCTGTGTTTGTATGTGTGTGGGGGTGTGCGCGCGCGCGCCTCAGTGTGCATATGTACGTGTATTTGCGAATTTAAAGATTTGTGTGCGCGTGCATGGTGTTTAACATTCCTAGCCAGAAATAGACGTTGATTTACCTCTCGTTGATAAGCAAACGGGGATGTTGTAAGAGTTTACTGATTAAATTGGAAAATAATATAGCGGTTCATAACAGATGCTTGTTAAGAACATTGGAGTGTTTGTTATCACACTATCTTTATAAAGCTATTAATGCTGTATATGCAAATGTGCATGTGTGCCTAAATGCTCTCATTCTCTCATATATATATATATATATATATATATATATATATATATATATATATATATATATATATATACACACACACACACACACACACACACACACACACACACACACACACACACACACACACACACACACACACACACTCTCTCTCTCTCTCTCTCTCTCTCTCTCTCTCTCTCTCTCTCTCTCTCTCTCTCTCTCAACACATACACACAGAGAAATGTACACATATAAGTATACAAATAAATCTAAATATGTATGTACAGATTCGTTGAATTTGCGAACCTTTTTAACTTAAAAGGAGCATGAGTTTTTGGTTAGAGTGATGCTAATATCGCCAGGCATATTTATGTTGACGTAAAGGGGAGGAAGGGAGAGAGGAAGAGAGGATAGGAGAGAAAGAAAGAGAGAAGGTGTGTGTGGGGAGAAAGGAAGAGAGAATGAGAGTGTTAGGAGAAAGAAAGAGAGAGGGTGTGTGTAGGGAGAAAGGAAGAGAAAATGAGAGTGTTAGGAGAAAGAAAGATAGAAAGAGAGAGTGTTAGGAGAAAGAAAGAGAGAATTAGAGTGTGAGGAGAAAGAAAGAGAGAATGAGAGACTGTGGGGAGAAAGAAAGAGAGAAAGAAAGAGTGTGGGGAGAAAGAAAGAGAGAAAGAGAGAGTGTGGGGAGAAAGAAAGATAGAACGAGAGAGTGTAGGAAGGAGGAAAGAGAGAGTGGGGAGAAAGAAAGAGAGAATGAGAGTGTGGGGAGAAAGAGAGAGAGAGAGAGGAAAAAACTAGATTCCGTATAGGTAGAAAGAGAAAGACGATGATGAAAAAGACGCAAAGGAAGAAACTTGACGAAATTGTAGCAAGAGCAAAGACAGAAGAAAAACAAAGAGAAAGAGAGAAAGAAAAAAAAGAGAAAAATAGAAAAGATAAAATAAAGGGTAGAAATTACAAATACAAAGAGACTTTAGCAAAAAAAACTCTGACCTCTACACCAAAAAGGGTTACGAGTCAGACCGCGTAGGGAAGAGGGGGGGGGGGAGGGAGAAGGGTCAGATCCCTTATAAGGTCACAAGGAGAAATCACCCTAATATATAAACCTTTACGTTAGAACGAGACAAAGAGGAGGGAGAGAAAGACTTTTTTTTAGAGAGACAGAGTGAGAGCGAGAAAGGATTGAGGGAAGAGGAAATGGAAGAGAAAGATAGAAAAACGTGATAAAAATGTGTATATCAATGAACGAGAGAAACATCGACGGAGAATAAAAGAATAGTAAGAACGAAATTTAATGAAAGAAGAAGGGGAGGGGGATGATCACGTGAAGTTAGAACCATGTTATAACCCCTCCCCTCACAAAAAAAAAATAATAATAATAGTAATAATGAATAATTAATGATAATAATAATAACAATAATAATAATAATAATAAATAGATAAATAACTCAACAAACAAACAAATCAAACTTCAAACTTCAAATCCGTCTACAAAACACCATCATTACAAGAAGACCAAAGACGCCTTCAAGCTCACCAACGTCCGGACTAAACACCTGAACAGAGCCGAACGTGCGTAGAAGATGAGTAAGGCAGTAAGCCACAGGAGGCGCCGGCGGTCTTTGTACACTACCTGGACACGTCATCGGGTTCTGGCTCATCCTGCTGGTCGCTCGGTGTTGTGTGTCTTCACGTGGGTGTGTGTGTGTGTGGCTGTTTAAATGTCTGACTGTCTGGCTGGGTGTCTGGTTTTCTGGCTGTTTTTTTTTCTGTCTTTCTGGTTGTTGTTTTTTTCTGTCTTTCTGGCTGTTTGTTTAAATGTTTTTCTTTTTCTGTCTGTCTTTCTGGTAGTTTTTAAATGTCTGTCTGTCTATCTGTCTGTCTTTCTGGTTGGTTGTTTAAAATGTCTGTCTGTCTGTTTAAATGTTTGTTTGTCTGTATGTATAAATGTCTTTCTCTCTGTCTTTTCGTGTGCTTATCTATCTGGCTGCCTGTCTGTTTCTCTCTCTCTCTCTCTCTCTCTCTCTCTCTCTCTCTCTCTCTCTCTCTCTCTCTCTCTCTCTCTCTCTCTCTCTCTCTCTCTCTCTCTCTCTCTCCCTCCCTCCCTCCCTACATTTCACTGACATTCCTTTTATGACCAAGTAAACGATATTAAACATATAGTGAACGAAAGATAAGGGAAAGGAGAATATGATAAAGGAGGAACAGGTAGAACAGGTAGAAAGAGCAAGGAGAGTTGGGAATGGAGGAGAAATATGCAAGGAACGCCGTATCGATCACATGGAGGGGAATAAAGATGGAGATAGAAGTAGGAGGAAGAGGAGAGCGACTAATCCTTCCTTCTCTCCTTCTCTCTTTCGTTCTCTGTCTTCCTTTCTTCCTCTCTCGCTTCTTCTCTTCATTTCTTCCTCCTTCGCTCTCCTCCCTTCCTTCTTGTCTTTCTTGTTTTCTCCTTCCTTCCCTCCTCCCTCTCTTCCTTGCTCCTTCCTTCGCTCCATTCCTTTCTTCCTTCCTCTCCTCCATCCCCTCTCTCTCCCTTTATCCATCCCTCCCTCACCCCCCACCCTCTCTCCATCCCTCCCTCTCTCTATTCCCTCCTCCCTTCCATTTCTCTCTCTCTCTCTCTCTCACGCCCTCTCTCACGCCCTCTCTCCATTCCTCCCTCTCTCCCTCCATCTATCCATCCATCCATCCCTCTCTCCCTCCCTCCCTCCTTCCCCAGCCCCCCCCCCTCCCTCCCTCCCTCCCGTCCTACCCGTCTTCCTCGTGATATTTCTGGATTTATGTGGATTAAATAGGCTGTTCGCGGAGGAGAGACGAAGAGGCGAGAGAAAGAAGGTAGAAGGAGGAGGGGGAAGGAGGAGGAGAAGAGGGAGGGAGGAGGAGAGGGGAGGAGAAGGAGGAGGGAGAGAGGAGAAAGGGGAGGAGGAGGGAGAGAGAACGGAGAGAGGGGGGAGGGGGAGAGAAGGAGGAGGAGGGAGAGGAGAAGGAGGAGGAGGAGGGAGAGAGAAGGAGGAGGAGAAGAGGGAGGGAGGAGGAGAGGGGAGGAGAAGGAGGAGGAGGAGGGAGAGAGAAGGAGGAGGAGAAGGGAGAGAGGGGGAGAGAAGGAGGAGGGAGAGAGAGGGAGGAGGAGGGAGATAAAAGGAGGAGGAGGAGGGAGAGAGAAGGAGGAGAACGGAGAGAGGGGGAGGGAAGGAGGAGGGAGAGAGGAGAGAGAGGAGAGAGAGGGAGGAGGAGGAGGGAGAGAGAGGAGGAGGAGGAGGGAGAGAGAGGAGAGAGAGAGAGGAGAGAGAGAGAGAAAGAGAGAGAGAGAGGAGAGAGAGAGGAGAGAGAGGGAGGAGGAGGGAGAGAGAAGGAGGAGAGGAGGAGGGAGAGAGAGAGGATGAAGAAGGGGGGAGAGAGGAGGGGGAGGAGGGAGAAAAGAGAGAGAGAGAGAGAGAGATGAGATGTATTCACCTCAAGTACAAATAGATTCCTTTAGTGAAAACGTTCTCTATTTATCTATCTATCTATTTCCGTTTCTCTAATTGCCTCTTTTGTTTTACTTTTTTTCCAAGTCTTCGCGCCACTCCCCCCCTTCCCCTCTTCCCCTCTCCCCTCTTCCCCCTTCCCCTCTCCCTCTTCCCCTTTCCCTCTCCTTCCCCTTTCCCTCCTTTCCTCCCTTTTTTTTCCAATCTTCGGGCCACTCCCCTCTTCCCCCTCTCCCCTTTTCCCCCCTTCCCCCCCCTCTCACCCCCTCTCCCCCTCTCCCCCCTTTCCCCCCTTTTCCTCCCTCCCCCCCCCACCTCCCTAATCTCGAACGGCATGGGCTCGTATCGACGGCCTGATTAGCGCTGATTGGATTGCCAATGGCTCACCGA